ATTTGCATTTAATGAAATTACAAGAAATAAAATCAAGAAAACAAAAAACACTTGATTTATTTTTTAATAATTAGTATATTTTTTAGTTTTTTTTTGAGGTAGAAAAAAATAGGATTATTATTACAAATTTATGTAGATATTATGTTATTAGAAAACAATTTTTTTATAGAAAAAAATAACGTATATGAGGTTACGTGATGTTTGTAATATTGTTTGTTTATTTATGTTAATAAAAAAGCACGTTTGAAAAGTAACGCGATCTTAAGAAACAAAAAGTATATAAAGAAGTAGTGTCCGTAAGGATGGTAGTAAATTAGTTTTTTTTTTCGCATAATATATGAAATTCAAGACCGTTTTTATCTCTAACAAAACTTTTTAAATACAGATCAGAATTTTATGAAAAAGATTCATTTAAAAAAGAAAAAAAAAGTACATAATCTAACATAATTATAATTACTAATAAGATGAAAATTATGAAATAATGATAATTTTAAAAATGAAAAAATTATAAGTTTTTATAAAAATTCTAAAAAATTCTAAATTTAGAAAACTTCTATATAAGCACACTTCTTTATAATCATTATTTTTGGTGGTCCTAAGGCCTGTGACTATAAGAGAGGACAGCTGTATATATATAACATATGTGTGATATAAAAACTGTTAATGATTGGCTAAAAATAATAAAAAAATGTTAAGAAGTCTGATTTTTCTTTGTGACTCTTAGTATCATAGTGACACCTATCTAGAAACCTTTTGATGGCTTTAAAAATATGAATTAGCTATATAAGGATGTCACTAAGAGTGTCACAAGAGTATCACCAAGAAATTTCAGCATCCAAAATGATCATAGGAATAGTGACAACTTTTTATTCTGAATCACCTCCCTCAATCAGCTTAGTTAGTTCAGCCAGCTTTTTCTGATGATACTCTTCCTTTGCCTTATGTTTCTTTGCATATGGATCATAAAATCCATACACGTCTAGCTTAGCCAGCTTAGCTAGCCTTTTCTGATAGTAGTATTCATTTGCTCTAATTTTTTTTGCATGTGAATCACAAAATCCATATCTGCCTCTAGTTCATTCCTTGCACCCAAGTTGTTTGCAAGAAACTTGCCAAGAATTCTGATAGACTTTACATCCCTTTGAATAATAGCATCTCCAATTACATACTTCTTCAGTTCTAAAAATATATAGACAATTATACAATGTTAGTGTATCACCTTTTTTTCCGCCTCCCATTTGTAAATTGATTAATAATTTCAGTTAATTAATTTCATTTTAAAGTTTTTTCTTGCTAATATTATACCTTGAGTTTTGGTATAACTATAAATTATCTTAAATTACTTGAGAAAAATAACACAATCTGAGCTTTCAGAGTTCCTCAATGCTTCTATCCTATACAAATAAGGTTTTAAAGCCTTTAATATAGGTGCATGCTTATATAAAATTCGTAATAATAGTGTTAGACTAAGACATTTCCTTAGCGCAGATAATGCGGATGAAATAGAAGCTATACTCTCAAATTATGAGGGTTGTTCCTTACACGAAATCATTGATGGGAATGAGCTACTCCAGCTCATTATAGATTTTGATTTGCCAGTAAAAACATTAGTTGCTATTACCCCAAGTTTTCAGACAAACAAGTATAAAAATTACTTTGTCACGTCTTTAGAGATACTTGCCTTGAAATATTTCCTGAATGGAATAAAGAAATTATGTCTATTTCCAAAAGTAGTAATGAGAAAAAACTATCTTTACATATCTTAACTTTTAGCATAAGACTTCCAAATGTTGCTAAGGTTTCAGTTTTCATTGAACTTGTTTGTAAGAAACTTCCAGTAGGATTGCAGAAAAAAGTATTATCGATAACATAGCAAATAGAGGTTCTTTCAAATCTTTCTTTTTGCGAATGATTGGGTCATCCAAATATGATGAAAAACAGACAAACATGTTCATGTGAAAAAACCAATTCGTCCAAAAGATAGAACTATCTTTGACTTCATGATCTAACCACCTAATGATGATTCAAAAGTCATTAATAGTTCTCATTTGGCCATTTCAGAACCTGAAGTTAAAAGATGTCCAAAGGAAAATAATGATATAAGTAGTGAATCCACTTAGATTGAATTCAATTTTGTGAAATCATTACTCAAAGAAAATGGCATTGAAGGGTATACTTTATATTCTCTTTAGATAACATTCCCAACTTATTCCTATTAACACATAACTCTCTATTACACTGCTCATTATGTGATCAGGAACATACTAGTGATAATGCATATATTATACGAAATAAAAAATCATATAGCTTTAAATATTACCGCACAAATCATAAATGAAATCCTGGAACAAGAAATCTCTCACTAAAGCTTATTCTTAGTGAATCAGCCTTAAGTCGGAAAAAGGTCTTCTGGCTTCAGTAAAATTGGAACAATCCAGAATTTTGAACCCAAATGATCATTTTGTATATTGAAACTTAATACGTATATGTACTCAGGTAAAAAATTCTCCTACACTGAAGTTTATGAAGCAATCCAATCTACAGTTGTTAATATTCAAAAGAAAACACCAATATGGTTACTAAAACATAAAGATTTAAAGAAAGAACTTTATTTTGATATGGGATCTGAGCTAAAGATTGTTAAGATTGTGATTAAAATAATCAAATATGAGGGTGAAGCAGTGAAGTTAAAATCTTTGATAGACCAGGTAGTCATTAAAGGCACTAGTCGAAATCATTTCATTCAGCACTAATACCATTCGGTTAACATTCAGCTGATTCATCATATGATTTGGCAAAATTTGGCTTAAGTTACAAAAATCGATAGTTATTTATTACATCACACATCATTTAGTATTATTTCGGTATTAGAACTTTCGTCAAACATTCAGCTGATTCGGTCATGTGATTCAGAAAATATTCGGCTTAAGTTACAAAAATCGATAGTAATTTGTTACATCACACATAATTTAGCATTATTTTGGCATTAAGACCTTTTAGTTATAATATTCAGCAAAATTTCAGTCAGATTCAAGATTTGGCAACAAATTGACTATATCTCACTGGTTAAAATCTGCTGAGCTGATTTTTGTGAAAATTATAAAAACATTCTAAGAGTAATCATCACAAAGAGATGATGCAATCGTCTCTAAAGGAACGATAAAAATCGTCTTCAAAGAAACGATAGAAATCATCCCAAAAGGAATGATAGAAATCGTCCCAAAAGAAATGAACATTCATTCCCAAAGAGACGATAGAAATCATTCCTAAAGAAACAAAATATCATTCCCAAAGAGACAATAAAAATTATCTCAAAAGAACGAACATTCGTTCCCAAAGAGATGATAGAAATTGTCTCAAAAGAAATGAACATTCGTTTCCAAAGAGACGATAGAAATCATCACAAAAAGAACAATATAATTGTTCCCAAAGGAATGATAGAAATCGTTCCAAAAGAAACAAACATTCATTCCTAAAGTGACGATAGAAATCGTCCCTAAGGAATGATAAAAATTGTCTCAAAAGGAACAAACATTCATTTTCAAAGAAACAATAGAAATCATCTCAAAAGGAACAAACATTCGTTCCCAAAGAGACGATAGAAATCGTCTTAAAGGAACAATCAATTATCATTCTTTCAGACAATGATTTTTTATCATTCCTTTAGAATGATGATTTTTTATTATTCTTTCGGAACGATTCATCATCGTTCCTTTAGAATAATGATCTTTTATCATTCTTTCGGAATGATTCATCATCGTTCCTTTAGAACAATTTTTGTTATTGCTCTATTGGAATGATACATCATCATTTCGAAAGGACGATATTTTTATCATTTTTAAGGAACAATTTTTTTCATCATTTTTTTGGAACGATAAAATCATCGTTGATTTTGTCATCATTCGTAAGGAATGATTAAACTATTATTCCTTTCGAACGATTTTGTCATTGTTCTTTTGGAATGATCAAAATATTATTCCTTTCAAAAGATTTTGTTATTGTTCATAAGGAACAATCAAATTATTGTTCCTTTCGAATGATTTTGTTATCATTTGTAAGAATGATTAAACTATCGTTCCTTTTGAGCGATTTTCTATATTATTTGTAAGAAATGATCAAAATATCATTCCTTTTAAATGATTTTCTATCGTTTCAATCGGATGATGCAAAATCATTCATTTGTAGCATTTATGCTAAATAGTCTAAATTTCAGATTAATTGTATAAAACTGATTAACTTTCAGAATATTCCGAAAAAATTTATTTATTTTTTTTTTTTCGGAAATTTAACTTTTTCCTTCTTTTTCTTGTTTTTTTAGAAAATTCTTATTTTGAAATTAAGGTAAGCGAATCGGAAGTGACTTTTGTGACATTTTCCTTTCTTTGTTCTTGTTTTTTAGGAAATTCTTATTTTGGGTATTAAG